TATGAAAAGGACAACCTTTGATCTCTCAGCCCTTCCCACATGTAACAGCTCCTGCTCCATTCAGAGCAAAGAGCTAGGCTCCCCATCATGGATTAACTAAAGATTTTTGATAGAAAAACCTCAACAAGCGGCTGAGGGGCCTGGCAGGGGAGAAGAAGCATTATGAAATACAAGAATGGATTAAACAGAGGGTGAAGTTCCTAAAAACCACCTCCAAACTATGTAATCAGTGACCTGGACTCAAACTGTTTGTGTGTGTCCTCTCTTGCAGTGCTGCTGCTGCTGTTGTTATTATTTTTGGCCTGGGAGAAATATCTTTCTGAGTCCGTTTCACCTTGACGGATTATGATGCCATTTTAAATGTCAATTGATAATAATTGTGCCATAAAAAACCCATAATAAATGTTATCAGTTTAAACCTACAGTGTCCCTTTTATTAATATTTCTAATTTATGAGCTTGTTGAGAAATCTACGGAGACAACAGGGCTAATAAATCTGAGGTTAAAAGGACTCCAGAAGGCACACTGCATGGGCTTTCTGCTAGATCATTGCCAGCTGTTGAACTTTGAGAAGATCAGAGCAGCTCAGCTGTCACTGGGGAGATTGTCAGAGTCCAGTAAGGCATAAAGGATGGAAAGCAACCTACAAAGACGTGAGTCTCCAGAGGTGATGTGGGCAGTTTGCAGCTGCAACTGCTGGTGCACGGGTGTTTCTGAGTGCCTGAGCTCATAGACTTGCTCTGAAAGCCCTTGGAGATGAGGTATTGTGAGCTGCAGCATCCATGCTGTTAATAAACACTGGATAGCTCTGACTATGAATCACATACAAAAATTGGAGCTTAAAGGAGATGTTTCAAAGGCATTGGGTGGAATAGCATCCCGTTAGCGTCTTTATCCAGAATAAACCAGTGGGGCAGGAGTGGTCATGCTTCCTGACTGACAGCATAAATACAATTCTTATTCCTCTTCAAGACAGGCAATATAGGATAAAAAACTCCCAAGTATTGATCCCAGGTTGATTTCGAGTCCACACATCCAGGATTTTTCACTTTCGGAAAGCACACCATATTTTAAAAACCTCACAGGCCTTGTGGACCTCTAGATTTGCCTGGCACAGGCAGGATGAGTTGAGAAAATCCACATGGCATGATTTTGTTCTGGACAGCTGCCTTCTGGTGTAAAGGGTTGCCTTCAGAGCTCAGCATCCCCAGGGGAAGATGTGTTTCCTGCCTCGAGGAATTTATAGACTAAATTAGACAGGTAGCACAATAATTGTAACAAATGAGAGTCATCTGCATTTTCAGGTCAAGCAGAAATGTAAAAATATCCCCAAACTACTCTACAAAAGCCATCATATTAGAACTTGGCAGAAAAATAACTTATTCATTCTTTGGTAATTTAAAAGTAAATAATTTCTTGTTTTGAACATAAATAATTTGTTACATTTCAGCAACTCCATCATTTCAAAAAGGGGGTCAACTGAACTATTTTAATTTGCAAAATGTTCATTTGCATTTCAAGCTTCTTTTTTTTGCCACTCATCTTTATTTTAACATAATACAAAGCAATGATATTCCAAACTAGCAGTCATTCCAAACAAAGTATTTAATTTTTTTAGTTAATGAAATAGTATTTATCACCATTTTTTCCATTTTTGTATTAAAAAAAAATTAAAATGTTCAAGTCTTTTGGTATTACATAAACATTTTGATATCACATTTGCATTTTTTTCTGAAGAAACTTTTGTACGCAAAACATTGGATTTATGCATCATTACACTGCTGCTTTCTAATCCCCTTTCAAGAGTTGTCACTTATTCATCCTATTTCCAACTTTAGTGCTTGTTGTGTTTTTCTGTATAGAAGAACAAAAATATATTTCTCAGTTGGCATTGACTTCAGTTTTAATAAAAAGAACAATACAATAAGACAGAACAAAAATAAAGCCTTCACAAGGAAGCTTTCAAGTTGTAAATTTGCATGTGCGCATCTCATTTAAACACACAGAAAATCAGCTTGTCCCTGTGAGCAGCAGGGAGGTTTAAAGTCGCAGACTAAGACAGAACAAACATGCACCGTTTGATTTTGTGACACGGGACTACAGCGTTGTCTCAGCAGGTGCCTACCCAGAGCAAGTTGGTGGTGGCGGAGACAGGCAGCACATACTCTGAATACGGAGATACTCTGGTTTCACTTGGTACGTGTTGTCAGTGTGATCATTGAATAAAGGTATTTCACTGAGGTGAAAACTTGGAGCGTGCCTGCCTCAGCTCTCTTTTCTTCAGAAAATTTTTAACACAGAGGCACATGTATTTCTTTGGGAGCTGGTGCGAGCGTTCATAGAGACATAACTGCCAGAAGTCTACGTTTCTTCCTTTCAAAACGGTGTGTATTTAACTCAGCGAAAGGGAGCTGTAGCGAAGAGGAGGGATAGAAGGTGTATTATTTTTTTTTTTTGTCCTCAGAGTCTCTAGGCTAATTTACCCAGTCAGTGATCTCCAAAGATATGAGTCCTCTCATAAGGAATGTTGGGACCTATCAGACTTTCCCGTGAAATCCTCCTCCTACCCCTGCAGCAAGAAATTAGCCCCTTGAACACAAAGAGGCTTTCATAACAAACCAAAGCCAAGGCTTTCCACAGCAAAAGAAAATGTGTCCCTTCCTGGGTTTCACTTGACAACTGAAGCAGACAAATCTATGGGCTTCACTCCTGCAGCTACCTAGAGACTTTGGAAGAATGGACAGCAGGGGAGGCTTAAAAAACAGAGGCTCCTGGTCACTAGAGCTGGTCGCCCTGTGCCTGAAAGCTTTTAGACAAAAGGTAGCACAGTAAACATCAGAGTCCAGACACTGTCATATATGCTAAATTAATACAGGGAAGGCTGGGTCAAGGACATTCAGCTTATGACATCTGGGAAGTAAGGAAGATTTAAAGCCGTTGCTCTAGAGGAAGCCATTAAAAGCCAGAAGAATTTCCCCTTTTTAGTGCCTTAGGCAAGCTTAATAGGGAAAGTAAGGCATTTGCAAAAGAATGCACCAGGTTTCTCCTTGTGCTTTTTCATGGGGTTTGAATCAAGAATCACAAGGAAAAGGGGGAACCCTGTTACTAAATAGGCAGTTTTCACCCAGGGTGTAGATTCAGAGCATCTTTTTTTCCCTCTGCATACAGATGACACGCTCACCTCTTCTCAGCCCATAAATTACCCACTCCCTCATTCTGCCTAAGCAGAGAAGGAGGAGACATCCCTCTTTGTGTGCCCAGACAGAATTACAGGCTCTGGCAGCAAAGCAGGAGAGGATGGCCTGGCCAGAGTGGCATCCCCCCTGCGTGCATTCATCAAAACAGCAACGTGTTCTCTGCTTACAGAGAGGCCCACGAGACCTTTTGCACCCACGCAGCAGCTGCCACCTCCTCACTCAGCCAGGAAGGTGTGAGATCCTCCTTTACACAAACTGAGCCACCGGCCAGAGGGATGCAAAGGGAACAAAGGAAAGCCCTTCCCACTCTCTACCCCATGCGTTTCATCAGTGTGAAAGGCACTCACTTGTCCACCCTGTCACCTGGAGAGAAGCTTGATTAATAAAATCAGATAATTAAATATTCTTCATCACGACTGGCTGCACCATTTTTTTTACCTCTTTCATTGTTCTTTTCCCCACCACCCCCACTGCTTTTCCAGTATCTCAAATCTGGAAAAAGCCGAAAGCCTTTCATCTTATCAGGTGTGGTTTATTGTCCCCTGGTTACACAGTAATTTTGGTCTCCGCTCCATGAAGAGGTCATATGATGGGATATCAGCTCAAGAATTGTCAGTTCATTGGACAAATAAGGCAGGGCCTGCCAATACAATTATAAGAGCCCGATAAGGAAGGCATAGAGGAGAACCAGCAGGAGAGGGAGACACAACCATAGCAATTTAAAAGGTGAGGGGCAATCCCAGAAGAAGGCAAGAAATGCCACTGGGGACAGGGAGAGGGAAGGAACTGGAGTGCATTTTACCACACATTCTTCCCCAAATAAAAATTAACGAGAAGATAGAAGAAGCTCAGGAGAGGAGTCGCAGGTATTCATCCACATTATCCTGGAAATCTTGTCCCCTTGTGGCGGATGCCTGACTGGGAGGCACAAGCGACTGGTGGGATGATTATCAAACTAGCTTGCCTCATAGCTCAGGGGAGAAAGAAAATAATGTTTTATCTTTAGTATAGGTGGGGGGTAGAGGGCACTAATTCCTATTCCTAAGCATGTTGCAAGGGCCATCTCTTTTTCTCTTGTGACTGATAAGATGGGATGATGTTGAAAAGCACCTGTTTGGAAAGTTCAAAGGGTTTCCAAAGTAGCAGAAGAAAGAATCTGAACCAAAGCTAATGGCTGGTGAGGGATGGCTGAAGGGTGACCTAGGAATTGCTGGTGAGGGAGGTTTCCATGTGTGACACCTCTTTGTATGCAAGAGAAGTTTACAAGGTGTCTCTCTTGCTAGTGAATGGCACGAGGGACGAATATTCATCCTGACGATTATTTTCTTAACTCCATAATAGTACAAATCCAGTGGGCTTGTCACAGATTTCGGCCTGAAAACAGAAAAGAAGGATAAGTACCCCACAAACAGGATTTACCATCAAGAAGCAACCCTTCCCAGGGCATTTTTCACCTCGGTCTGTGAGGAGCACACCTCCTCCTGGGATTGCTCCGTAAATCTGGGCCGGCCGGGGGATGTTTGGCAGTGGGTGGGGTTGGTAGGACTTTTCACCCCCACTTCTAATGCTGCCTTCCCCAGACACGGGAGCGCAGGTCTTGGTCCCAGGCTGATCAGCAGAGAGGAGCAGGCGCGTGTGCTCACTCGTGGGTTCGCCTTTGTTTCTCCTCCCAGCGCTCCTGCGGGTCAGGCGGGCACGGGTGGGGAGAGACACGCACCTTCCCAGCTGCATGTTTCTTGGAGAGCACCGACAGCCGGGAGAGCAGGAGAGGACTCTCTGCCCCTTGGCCGCTTTGGCAGGAAGATGACGGACCCCCGGGTGTGTGCCGGCCAGGGGAAGCCCAGCCTGTCCTTTTCCATTGAGGAAATCTTAAAGAAACCTTCTGCCAGCACCGCCCTAAGCAGTGAAACCAGGAACAGGAGTAACTACACTGAGAGACCTGCAGCCCTAAAAGCAGGGTCACCCCTAGCCTTTGGTAAGTACCAGTTATTACACTTAATGAAAATACTCCTTTCTTTTTAACCCCCAAAGCTGTCTTTTTTGGTTATGTAAAATTTTTATTCTTTAGCTTTTGTAGGAATCTGGGATTTTCCTACTCAGGTACAAATCATTCATTATATATACAGAAATAATCTTTAAAAAATAATTGCTTTCAACCTCACAGTAGACTGGGCTCTGCTGCTAGCCTTTTGTGGGATTTTGTACATTAGGAAGCCCCAGTGTCATTGGAGAGGTGGGTATGCAACCTGAACATTTACTGCAGGTAGCTCTCCTCAGTAACAGTGGGATGTGCTTATTGTAAACAAATACAACATCCTGGTGTCTTTCCCTTGAAAAAACAATACTCTCGTTATTTAAAAAAAAAAAAAAAAATAATAACTGCCTGTCATAAGGAAGGACAGGCATTCAGACTCGGGAAACTAGCCTAAAACTGCTGCAACTTAATAAAGCTGTTGAAGTTTCACTTATATCAAGAGCTGGCTGTTGTCTGGAATTACAGCCAAATCTCATATCAGTACCATTTTCTGATAAATCCAACCACTCGTCCTCAGGCAGAAGAAATGGTCTGTAAGGGTAATGGTAGCTAAGGAGTGTTAGAACTCAATTGCTGGAACAAGAAAAGAAAAAGCATTTGTGTTTAATCATTTTTCCTTATCATCATGGACACTAGGTCCTTTCATGAACCAGCTAGTGGAAAACTAACATGACTTCACTTTTAGCAAACCAGCAAGTGCATTAGCCTTTTTGACTTCAGTTTCCTCACTTTAGTTACTTTGGCCTTGAGTGAACTTTTACCCCCACATAAATTGTCTTTTTTTTTTTTTTTTTTCCTTAAACAAAGACCAATGACCAACATTTTCTGGATGTACTATTTCTTCTTTTTTAATCTACATCCTCCATGAAAAGGACATGTTTTATGTATACAGACATATCCACTTAACTGAAAAGTGACCTGTAGTTTTGACAGAAGATTTTCACTCACCTCTCCTTCAGCTGCTTTCAGCAAAGCTTAATGCAACACTCTATTTTTTGTAACAGAGAGATCCTTTCATGGATCAAGACCCCATTTCCCAGGACACTGGATGAACCACCCAGTAGTAAGGGAGAGAGTCTTTTCAAAAACCTAGCAGTGCAAGTAACCATTGCTTATTGACATAGTTTCAGCACTTTTTATGACCAGACTGGATACTGACCTGGACTGGAAAGCAAATGAGACCTAAATTGGGAAGGAAACTACAGTGCAGTGAGCACCACACTCACTAGTGTAATTTTAGTCACCAGCTGGACTCAAGCCAAGTCCCACTAACGCTGCATCTCAGCCATGCTTTGCTGGAGATTTGCACTTTCTTGTTCACCTCTGACACAGGGTAACTTCACTCACTCTGTACAGGGCTTGTTTCCTGACCAGGGGCAGAGCCAGCCCACAACACACCTCACCGTTCTGGGAGCCCCAGGCATTGGGGCTGAGTCTACAACCGCTGCCTTTGTGCCAGTACCTGTGACTTTCCGCAGAAACCTGCGTATGGGGAAGAGGGATAGCATGCTGCTGAATTTTCACAGAACCACAGGGTAATTGGGGTTGGATGGGACCTCTCAAGGTTATCTGGAAGTCCAGCCTGCTGCTCAAAGAAAGGGCAGCTTCCAAGACAGACGAGGTTGCTGGAGGCCATGGCGAGTGTTGCTTGGCTGTTTCACCACTGGTACTGTCAGAGGACTGCAGCATTTAGAGGTTTCCTAAAGCTGCCAGTACAGATTGGACCTGAACAACAGCGGACCCAGGCCGCGTTTTAAATGTGGTCCTGAAACAAGGGAGAGCTTGATGGTCTGTAGGGGTGGGCAGGGACACAGCTGGTGCTGGTGCAAGCGTCACGGGGCCCGTGTGCCGAAGGAGCCCAGGTGCCAGCTTGCGAAGGGGGGAAACGCTGGTGCGAGCTCTGTGGGAGTGAGCTTTTGCGAGCCTTCCACCGGGCCCGTGGCAGTCCCTGTGTGCCGCTGGATCCAGAGCGAGACAGATAACACCGCTGAAAGTTAAGTCAGTGCTGTTCATAACACGGACCACGGATCTGCATTTTAACACCGTGAGACTCTTCTCTGGGAACAGAGAAGTGTGGCAGAGAGAGGACCTTTTTATATTAAGTCTGTTTCACGATCAATATGTTGAAGCCCTGTTTCACTGCGTGTCTCGGCTAAGCGTGCCACTCCAAGCACAAGGTCTGACAAATCTGCATGTAGGATGTGGTGGGTTCCTTGGATTGCATTACTGCACTGCCAGTACTGTCTCATCCCAAATTGCTCCACCTGAGAGTACAGTCAGTTTTTCACCTTGAAAGCAATGCAGGCAGAACAGCCAGGCCTTGCCTTTGACTTCACTTCATCACCTAGCCAGAGAGAGACCGTAGCTCTAGCAAAGGAATATAGTGACTCATCTCTCCACTGCTAGAGAGCAAGGTTGGATTAATATACTTAAGGCAATGTGAAATGTTAACTAATGAAAATAGTATAATACACATGAAGATTCACTTAGCAGTCACCGGAGCTGGGAAAATAGGAAAGTGGTAGATATTCCAAAATCTTATTGTACGTTGCTTTTCCATTTGATCAAGGATGTTTAAAAAGGACAATGAAAACAAAGCTTTTTCACTGTTGGTCTCTTACTAACACCAAAGAGATACCTAAGCTCACTACTTTTTGCTTTCCCAGTAGAACTGTCGATTTTTGCAGATAAGGTTTATTTATTTCAGAAGTACAATACCCTATGCTGTTCATCTTGGGGTAATTACTGTATTTCATCAAAGTCATTCAACTTCATGCTATATAACACTGGCATTAAACAAGTTGTGTAAATAGTCAACCGTATCTAATTTGGCTCAGCACTGGCCAAGGTCAGGGAACTGAGATGAGCTAGGTAACTTGTTTGAAATTCCAGGATGGGTCACAAAACCAGCTGCTTTCCCAGAAGTTCAGCAGCAGCAAAGAAGGAAATACTGCAGGTCAGGGCTGAGTTATATCTTATTATGGATTTAAAGAACATTTCCCACATCCCATATGGTATGTAGCTGAGCCAAGCCATGATCCATATAAGAGCAAGAACTGCCACCACACACATACTCATGGCTACCATAAGGTAAATATCCAGCCAGAAATTATCGTCCAGCTCATCTGCTGATCCAGGCATACTTGTCCTGAAGTCTAAATCTAGCCATTAAGAGCTGAGAAGACAAGTGGGACCAGAGGACCAGAAGATGAAAAAATGTCACAAATGAGGGACATAGACAAAGCTTACCCTGGAGTCTTTTCCCAAGAAAACCCAGGGGCGCTGGACCAGATAACTTCTAGAATTGCTTCTAACCTAAATTATCCTATGATGCTTTCACAAAAAGGATGTTGTGATGTGCAGTGCCAGCCTCTCATGGAAAGCTGGGTCAGAACTTGATCATGTAGGAGAAGATCTGTGGGTCTGACTCCTAAGTTCACAGGTTTTTGTGAGTGTAATTCCAGTGGGACTTGGAATAATGAGTGTGGAGTCTTCCCAGGAATGTGTAACTTCCCAGCTGCAGTATTAGCCATTTGTGAGTTTAGTGCACAAACACAACTACTAAATGACCTGGAACTGCAGCTGTTGATCTGAAGCCTACTCGAATTTTTGAATTTTTGAAAGACTCTTACCAAGTTATAAAAGGAAGAGTGAACAAGAAGACAATTTTGTCTTCAGTCTATGCTTTCCCTCTCTTTTTTGTCACAGTGCCTAGAAAGGGTAGCCATGGCCTTTGCAAAGGACACAAATAAACATCCAGCAAATGCTGATCTCTTCCCTAGTGCCAACTCTTTCATTTTAAACAGAGAAGACTAGAAGGCCTAATTCAGGAGAGATCCTTCGAAAGGCACCTACCAAAGGCACCAAATCCTTCTTCTGAAATCCCTGGGAACTTGATTTCAATGTGCCTGAAAGCACATCTGCAATAACTGTTCATTACTCCCCCAGTTTCTGCCAGTGAGGTTCCACCAACAGGAACCAGTATCAAGTCAAGGAGAGCTTGGGATGAGGACATTACACTTGGGAAACCCATAGTAAAAGCAGTAACAGATACAGTAATTTTGTCAGCCTGTGTTAGGCTTCATTATGTTAAAGATATGCAAATTAATAGGAATACAACTGCCGCTTCACACACAAATGTCAATATGGTGATTGTTTACTTCACCCTTAGCAACACTCCACCCAGCTTTATGGTAAAAGAGGAAACAGCTGAAGGAATATAACTGAATAGATACCACCTGGCCAATATCACCAATTCACCTCACCTATTACAAGGGAAAACAGTCCACCTAAAAAAAAAAGTAAAAAAGAAAAAAAGAAAAAAAGTAAAAAAAGTATAGAAGCAAGAGGAAAACGGCACAATAAAAAGCTGCTTGCACTTCTCAGTGGTAGACTCTTTCATGTTCACAGCCTTAGTAAGACCCTAAAATCATAAGCCTTATGCCTACAACAGGTCTATCTCTCTCCAGCGATTACACAAAAAGGTTTAACTGGAACTTAGGCCATCTGAAATAACCTTCTGCTTACAAAAAGAAGTCTCACTATCTTGCCTGAAATTTTCCATCCTTTCTTATGCAATTAAAAGTCAAGCCAAAAAGACCATGACCATTTTGAGCCACAAATCAAAGTAATTTCTGTGCATGACAATAACAAATATCTCATGTTTGTGCCAGGCTGAAATGTCATTGCCAACACTGAAGGGGAAAAAAAAAAAAAAAAAAAAAAAAAAAAAAAAAAAAAACACCTGCATTCCCTGGAGGAATCTTACCCCATGCCAATTCATAGGTATTTTTCAGAACTCTCTGCTGGACTCACATGAATATGCACCAAAAAGTACCAGGTGACCTAAAGAACCACCACTTCAGACAGTCCCCTTGCTTGTTCAGGACAACAAGAACCAGAGGAGGTTGCAATGCAAACAGGACTAGACCTTGTGGCTCCTAACTCTCAGATATGTGCTTTAAACTCAGTATTATCTACTTTCAATCTTAGCCTCCAGAAAACATCACTGATTTTTCCAGACTCTCTTTAAGGTTCATGCCACTCTAGTTTGCTTTTTTGATCTCAGACAACAGATCCTTCCACTCCTTCTTACCAGTTCACAGAGACATTAGTATTTTCCCATCTACTTAGGACAGTCTTCCATTCCCTCCCTGTTTTCTCTTCTTCAGCCTATAATAATTCTATCCATGTTCATACATAAGGTGTGCTCATCACTAGGGGACACGAGTACCTCAGATTAAAATCTGGAGAGGGAAAAGTTGTGTACGAAGGATGAAGACATGTGAAATCCTATAATTTAGAAAATGCCACTGTCATTCTTAGAAAGCTTTAATCACATCCTATAAGAGCATCTTGCTCAGGTACCCTTAAGTTCTACATTACTGTAAGATATAAGCGCCATCAATTCTGTAACATACTCATTTTCGCAGCATCATATCTAGCAAGCGAATGCAACTAGTCCTTAATTTAGGGATGGTAGATTGAGATAGAAATCCTGGGCTAAAACTTGTGCCAACACTGATGTCCTCTGAGTTTTTGAGCAAATCATTTAACCCCAGCCCCATGCTGTAGTGATCATTCCCAGATCTATCTTTCTCCTTCATCCCACAAATATTGTTCAAAACCCCACCTGTTTTCTCACCAGAAAACTCAAACCTAGTTGACCCTAAAGGAATTAAATGAGACCCATTTTGCACAATATGCCTCAAACACAGAGGTGGACCTCATACAAGATTTTTAAGGTCAGCATGGTTGGACACATACAATTGCGTTTAGAAGTTTACCCAAAGATTGGTGATAATTTGAACAATCATCCTTTATTGACATGAGGCTTTGGCTAATTTCCAGAGCTCTTGTAACTGCATTTTCTTCATGTCAGTGTCAGCCCTCTGTAAAATTCCTGTTGTGTGAGCTTTTTACTGAGGGCAGAATTGGGCACTTTGTCTCCAGATGTTATAATTACCGTTGCTCCAAGGCTAGTTACAAGTGGAACTTGTTATTTGGTCAGAAAATAAAACCCTAACAAGTCTAAAAAGTTAGATGTTTGTCAGTGCTAGCTACTGCAGCAGAAGTAAAATATGGAGTTTCTACCAGTACAACTACTAGGGTTCACACCTGCTGTTATTTAGATATGAGAGCATAGAGGGGAACAACCACAGGTGCTGCAAACCCCAGGGCCTAGATGTGTGCGACTGCTCAGGAGTGCAGTCCATTGTTGCATTAAGATTTTAATGTTCTTTAGTGGTAATAGCAGATAAACCTGTGCTGTCACGTTCACTTCAGGGTCATACTAACCATGGAACCTAAATTCCCCGAAGGGTCCATTATGCTTATGTGTTATCTCCTACTCTGCCTTTCCAAGCCAAGAAATCCAGGCACGGAGGAAAACTAGAACATACTCCAGGTTTGCCATTAAAGCAGCACAGACCCAGTTATCTTGTCTCTGAAGAGTCAAGCCTGAGCCTTGATTGCATCTACCAAAGGCAGCGCACGAAGCGCTCAAAATTGGGGCTTATGGTGAGGCTTTAACGTGGAAAAAAAGCGGGTAAGAGAATGGGAGTATTTGGCATACCTCTCCTAGAGTGCTAACAGCCACAGACAGCCCACTTCCTTGAACCACGAGGCTTCCCAGCATGTTATATTTCAGTGCATGGCTTTGCAAGGTCCTCTTGCCTTTTATAAGGAAGAGTAAGGACTCGTTCTCCACTCACGAGGGCAGAAAACTAATCTGAAAGACCTTTGCAGTGCCCCTGCTACAGACAGAGATGATGGTGTTAGTAATAAGGCAGCACCATGGCAGAAGAAAGATTGCGCCTTCTGTGACCAATTTCATCACCACTCGGGGTCAGGTGTCCTAGCACATCACCACTGGTTACTGCTGAGGTTACCTTCAGCTCTCACTGGGATTGTTTATAACACCCATGCTCAAACCTAAGCTAACTTTATGGCTGCTCTTCATGAAAATGGGCTAATACGCACTTATGTTATGTTTGTCCTGTCAACAAGAGTGTGGCGGTGATTTCATGAAGATGAGTTGGCAGTCAATACCTTCCTAGATACCAACAGTGTTGCCTGTCACAAAGGCAGATGGGAAATGTTGACAGCCTAGGCAAAGGCTGCCTTTAGAATTATCCAGTGCCTAAATCTAAGCGGCAGGCAGCCCGGATATAGAAGAAAGGACAAACGGACCTGAATCAGGAAAGACACTGACCTTTAGCCTAATCTCTGGCCCACTGTCCAATAGAGCAGATCTCCCTACAGAGACGTTTAAGAAAGGACCAAATTTTTAAAAGCATTTGGCATCCAGCAAATTCTATGGTGATCTCGCCGACAGATTTTCAGGGCAGCTCTACATCAGCTGTATTTCTGAGTTCTTCAGAAAAGACAGCCACCAGTTTGGATACTGACAGGGAAGCTGAGCTTTCTTGATCATTTGTTTGTGTTTCCTTACTTCTACATTCCTTTTATGAAAATCTTCTACAAGAACCATTGAAAGTTTTAAGGTGGAAGGAAGCAGAGAACAGGCTAGATTTTGGGGTCAAATTCACCAGGATCATGCCCCTGCAACATGGGGTCATCTTGCCATTGATACACAGCACAGAAGGATTAAGGCCTTTTAAATATGATCAGGTTTGAGTGGTAAAATATCTAGAACACACCCATGCTTTTTTTTCCACACAAACTGGAAGGTGTGTGGAACGATGGTTGCTTTATTCAAAGCTGTCTTGTGCTGTGTCCTTCACAGATTCCAGCAGCAGGAGTCAGTTAGACTGTGACTTATCTTCAGCCAAAATCCTTCTTCCTGCCACATGTGTTACACCCATGGTCAGGGCGAAGAAAGCGCAGGCAGCTCACTGCAGGAGACCTACTGACAGCCCAGTGTCCCTCGTGGGTGAGGACACAGGACGTGAACACCTGGAAGGCAAAAGAAAACACCAGAAAGAGGAAGATCAGCTATGCGATTTCACGGTGGACCATCCACTTCATGGTGAGTGCCTCTATATCCAGACTTTCTCCCAGAGTACCCAAAACCACAGCTGTTATCTTACAGTGATATATATGGCAATACCTAGCAACAGACATCACGAAGATTTCTACTGCTAAAGTCCTGGCTGAGTCACAGGGATGGTTCTTCAATCTCACCTTTGAAAACATGGAGACATGGAGACCCACCCTTTGAGCTAAAGATCTAGCTCAGGCCTGCCAACCTTACCAATTTTAGTGATAGGGACTGCTTTGGGTGTTTATTGCCGTCCTACTTGGGGTGGCAATCTACAGAGTTACCATGTTCATCAGCCTTGCACCCCGGGTTGTGCAACGCCCGTTTCCTGATAAATGGGCGTTGCACAATGTGGGGAACCAGGCTGCTGAACATGCCGAATCAGTTCCGTGTGTTCTGTACACCTTGGACCCACTGTACAGGTGATGAAGAGGTCATCAGCGTGTGCACAGGCAAACTGTCAATGTGCAATAGGTCTGGCTTGCAGGATGTGCCAGGCACAGTTTTCAAGCCTGGCCATGTCAGTAGGTCTGCTAATTTCATTAGTTGTGAGTACTGGTAAACAGCAGTCTATCTCTTCGCCAAAGCAAAGGACAATACAAATATACTTTACCAATATGTTGCCCAGAGACTTTAAGCTAAGCAGGGTGCATGCTACGTGAACAAGACAAGATCCTAACAGAGAGACTGCAATTTATTAGTAGCATGTTTTTGTCACATGCTACTAATAATTACTAATAAATTTAAGATCTTTGAGCTTTAGGAAAGGTTAATACAGACGATCACACTACACTCCATAAAACAGGCTCTCGATAGCAAGAGTAAGGCATTTCCTGCATAGTTTACTATTATTCACTCCTTTCTGAAAAGAAAAAAACCTGCTATTTCAATTAAGTCCATTGAAGACTCCTAATGAGCTCGTGTGACCGCAGATGCAGGGTTACTCAGCTGACTTCACTGAGATCCACACATCTTCCTCAGCTCATGTTCTGCAAGTTGGCAGAGGAAACATTTCTTTCTCTGAAATACATTTAAAAGAAAAGCCTTGTTCCTGCTGCTGCTGCTATAGTATACATGAGTCTTGTGACAAGCTGCTGTCACCTCCTCCTGCACAAGACAGCATCTGTCTTGATGCAGAGAGAAACCTTGTAAGATAACCATATATTTTAGCTTACCTCTGCCCTGTAGGCTGCACACAGCTGACAGCAGGAGGGCAAAATCACACTGCCTCCTTGCAGAATAGCCAGGGCTCTGTGTATCTGGTACTTGGAGTTGCCTGTGAGTGCTAAAAAGGAGTACATTTCATGCAGGAGGGAGTCCCCAGCCATGGGGATCACACCAGAAGTGGGAGATGGCTTTCCCAGGCTGACAGAAGGTGGAGGTGGCTGTCCCAACTCAGCACTTAGCCTCATTGACCAGCGCAGTGGTCGGTACCAGCCTCATCAGCAAAGCAGGGGGGGAAGCATGTAATTATCTGCACAAAAATGAGCCAAGCTGAGCAGGCCCTTTGAATGACAAGTTATATTTTAAAGGCGATTTAAACAAAATCCCTCCGTTCCCCGGTGGCAGTGGGGTTTTGAAACCAAGCAGAGGTTTAATGATCTGCCATTTTCTAGGCTACTGGTTCCTGCAGTTGTTGAGCCTTTGATAGAAACTGGCTGAAGGAGAGGGGAGGTTCCTAAAGCACTGGACTGGCATTTTCCCCGTGGTGCACAAACAATGATATTTCGGATCCTGTTCACGCACTGTGTCATTCTTCGCAGAGATCCGGAGGCCTGGGTTTAAAATCCTTTCCAGCAACATAAGCTTCAGCCTCCTTCCTCCACTTTATGTTAGGCTGGAAGAGCTGGCAGCTCTTTTTTTCCTGCCTCTGGCTGTGACAGGAGTCACCTTTCCCAGATGAGGTTGGCAGCAGCACCTGCAGGAGAGGTAGACTGCACCATCCCTGGAAGCAGTCTGTAACTCTTACAGCTCGAGCTGATGGCAAATTACTTTCTGTTTCAATGCCTATCGACTTTGCAGTGCTTCAGACGTGCTTTTGGCATGGCAGTTATAGGCTGTTCCAAATGCCCATAGCATATGCCATGGAGGTGTCCCCAGGACCTCCCTCACAACCACACCAAAGGTGCCTACAAGCACCAAGGGGAACATCACCAACCTGAGCAGAGGGAGAACTTTCTGCTGTGAAAGACATAAGTCATTGGCTGGGCGTTCCCTCACCTCTTTCTCACAGCCCACCTCTATCCATATAAAACACCTGCATAATTTGGGAGGAATAGCACTAGGCTCTGATTAAGCATACACACCTGCATAGTAGTCAGGGAGCAGAAGAAATCAAGCATGTTATACAATCACCTTACAGGCTGGAGATGTGGGGTGTGTCTGGTGCTTTTTTGGATAAGATCAGAAAGATGATGAGGCTATGACAATATGCTCCTCATGGGCAAGTGGTCTGAGATAGCAAGAGCACCCTGACTGTGAATTTGGAGCATATTTCCAGGAAACCCTGTAACACTGTAGTGTTCCAAAAAATTTGCTTTTCCCACAAAATGGCTTCTGCATCTAAGCGGTTTAGAAATGCAGTGTCATTTAAACTAAATAGATTTATGCCCTTATCACAAACCGTTTACAGGAAGCAATGCCTCTTGCACTTTGCACTTAGAGGCTGCACTGTAAGCAAAAAAAAAAAAAAAAGAGAAAAGCCCTCATGTGCTAGAGACATGCTGACAGTGGCATTTAGTTTTGCTAAGCCCCCATTTAATTTGGAAGCCTTCGTTCTGAATGTTGGGTGCTTTCACCTGTGGCCTCCTGCACACAAAGCTCAGCAGAACTTTTTCAGAAAACCTGGTCCTTGGGAAGCAGCACTGGTAAAACCCATTTTAGAAGGAGACCATTCTGAGAGAGGACTTAGGTTGGAGCTGTGGGTACAGACTCTGGGCCAGCTCTCTGTGAACTGATTAATTGCTGCCATTTTGCTATGTGCAACCATCATTGCTGTCAGGGTCTTCAAAACTTAAGAACAATCAGGGCAAACTCTTGTGGCTGTTGATCAGCATCACAGCAACATGTCCATGTAAACACTCAAATTAAATCCTAAGCTTCAACTTTCCTTTTAATTCCTTCTCTCTGCTCTGTGTGACACCCTTGGGACTAGACCAGTTCATAGCAGCTGAGCACTGGAGCTTCAGAGGATTACATGCCCCCATGAGCCTGCCTGACCTACAACAGCTCTTGCTGGAGGCTGCCACATACAAGATCCCATCCTAGATCAGATCCTCATGGGCAATTTTTTTGCAGTGTCTTTTACACATGCTGGGTCTGATTGTATACATTTGTGTGTGTGCGCTGTAACTATTTACATACAAAGGCAGTGGATGAGTGTGCCCAGTGTCGCACATGGGTAATAGTTCCAGTCCTCTGCTCCAGCGAGGGAGTAGGCAGTGCCTTGGAGAAGCCAGATAGCAGCATCACCTTAAGACACTGGTGGATGCCCAGTCTTGTGACATTTCTTCTGTGGGCAATAATTCAAGTACAAGGTAGATCAGGCTTCAGTAAATGGAACTGGCTCCTAATTCCACCAGAAACTGGGGGGTTCAGGCCATGGGAAAAACTGGACCATGTAATTTCCCGAAGCTCATGTTTTCATTATTCGCTGTAGAGGAGGCTGCCAGAATGACTCAACATCACCCAAATATTTCCGTAGCAGAAATCCTCTGTACATTGCTGACTGGGAGCTCAGGGATCTTTTTATTAATCTAATTGTTTTATTATTATGATAGCATCTTTGATCCCAAAGCATATTGACAAACTCTGGCAGTAATTATCATAAAGACAACAGGAAATATAGAGATGATCTCAGTTCTGGAGAACTTCCAGTACAAGTCGTGTCCCTTCTGTACTGATGCCAGTTGCAGGCATCTTTAGCTTAGTGTTTATGTTTTCTCTGAAGCCATAAATTCATTTGTACTGTTCATTTGTGGACAATATGGCCAAATCCATGTACCCCTGTGAAACAGCATGGTTTATCTCTCACAGAACAGTTTTTTCCCCAATACGCTGATTTATCTTGATACATTTATAAAACACCCAAGAGACAATGAAGCACTGTATAATCACAATCCCAGATAAATATCGGCTGCCCAGAATATACCAGTGGGATTGTGAGGAAGGGCACAAACATCCCATTGTCCTGTGAAACAAAAGGAAACAATTCTAAATTAAAAGGAAAAGCAGGAGGGAAAAAAAAAAATAAAAAAGCCTATATATATGATTTGGCTGCCATTAGCTGTCTCACCAGTCTTCTGTTTATCAGTGTGAATAGTCCCTGCAGCCCTCTGTCTCTGAAGTGCAGTATTCCTATATACATTTAGAAATGCAGCAGACCACTGACCTTGTTTTTCTGGGATTATCTGAGGCACTGTTGAAGGCTGGTTCTTTGTTTTTTTCCCTCTTTGAAGACTGACTGTTTATAATCACACCCTGGATATTAAATTAAAGGCATGAAACCTGAATTCTTTACTCCCACCCTTCAGACTGTTCACATGGAAATCTCACTGATATAAGCAAGAACCGAAGAAAGCAAAGCTGTCAGCAGTTAGGGGACTACATAAATTCTGTTACTGTTATTTCTTTGTGGTTTTAGGGTTTGGGGTTTTTTTTAGTTAAAGCAAATGTTAGCATTCAATGCTTTCCTCGAGCAGCCCCTTCTTTCCTGGGAATTTTGGATCCAAAGGCTACATTACACAGGACCCAGAGGTTAATTTGCTCCTGCTAGTCAAATCTGTGTAATGTGACCGCTTGTAAAGTTGATGGCACATCTTGATAAGTTTATTTCAAAGGTCTTACAAGTACTTACTGGATTCTCCTAAATTGTCTGAGAACTTTTCATTACAACCCTGGGACTCGACACTTTTAATTACTGTTCTTTGAAATTGAAGGCAGGCTGCTTACCTACTGCATTAGCCACTGCTTTATGCTGAAATGGGAAA